GAAGCTAACACCTAACGCTAATTTTATAAAGGGCCATTTTAAACATACACAGCTAAAACATTTATATGGTACAGTCTGACAGATACAATGGAGTACTAGGGCCACACAACGAGATAGAATAAAGTCATATTATAACAACATTATCGTTGTATAAAATAAAGTCATAATATTATGAGAATGTCAGAATATTATGACTTTTATCTCATAATATTACCACTTTATTCTCGTAATATTATGACTTTATTCTCGTAAAACTATGACTATTCTTGTAAAATTATGACTTTAATCTCGTAAAATTATGACTATTCTCATAAAATTATAACTTTAATCTCGTAAAATTATGACTATTCTCGTAATATTATAACTTTAATCTCGAAATATTATGACTCTATTCTCGTAATATTATGACTTTAATCTCGTAATATTATGAATTTAATCTCGTAAAATTGTGACTATTCTTGTAAAATTATGACTTTAATCTCGTAAAATTATGACTATTCTCGTAATATTATAACTTTAATCTCGTAATATTATGACTCTATTCTCGTAATATTATGACTTTAATCTCATAAAATTATGACTTTATTCTCATTAAATTATGACTTTAATCTCGTAATATTATGACTTTATTCTCATAAAATTACGACTTTAATCTCGTAATAATAATAAAAAATCTTGTTGTGTGGCCCTAATACCATCGTAGCTTTGCCTGACTGACTGAATGTTAGACGCAGTCTTTTATTTTTAAACTTTCTGATSATTGCAGCCATATGGTTTAAACAGAGWGRGTGTCTTATCATACGAGGCCTTTCTGTCTGCATAAACAAAAGTTTGTTTCGTTCTAACATCTGACGTAAAAGGTACCACCTCCAGGGGTGTGACCAGGAAGTCAAACATGTTAAAAAGTGGATTCATCATTATTTGTTGAGTTTGGAGTCTCTCCTTTAGATTCAGCCGGTGACGGARGCTGGCAGCCAGAGAGGGATTGTTATGATCGTTGCTGTCCTGATAAGACCAAAGCCTTTTTACTCTGAGGCCTGCTGACTGCTGCGTACAGCTGCTGAGCTGACTGGAGTCAGAGACTAGAAGAAAGCCTTTTTAGAAGAGAATTAACTGGTTTTCTGCTATTTTACTCTGACTCCCATTTACTGATCATGGACTTCTTTGTGTAGAAAAAACAAAGGGCTTGACCCCACAAATTATTGCTGCATAATTTTTCACACTGGCAGAGGGGAGTATGATGTGAGTAAACGTGGGTAACAAAACATTGTCAGTAAACTAAAATGAAGTTTTGCATTCAAAACAGACTGAGTTTCAAATACTGGCCAATCACAGCTCAGCTCACTCTACGGAAGAGGATTAGGGCCTCAGAGGAAAAAAAAAAGATATTTGTTAACCTGAGTTCTGAATTTTTTCTTAGAATTGAGGGAAAAAATAGAATTCTGATGTTTTTCCCCTCATATTTCTGACTTTCATCTCAGAACTTTTTTTCTCATAATAATTATTTATTAATTTATTTCATTCACAAAACAACAAAAAGCCAATTAAACAAAACAAAGTAAATCAGTTATTGAATTGAATAATTCTGAATTTAATCTCAGAATTCCAACAAACTCAAGAGAAAAAGTGTTTTTTTTGCTCTGTGGTCCTAATCTTCTGTTTCACTCAGATATCAGTGAGATTGTGATGGAAAATTTGTATTTCTTGCAATTTTGAGTCACTAGTTAGTCTCTAACAATGGCAGCCCAGGCAGATATTCTTTCTCTCTCTCTAAGGAGCCACTCCATTCTTCACGGCATTGTCCCTCCCAGTGGATATATATAATGGAACATGTAGTGTCTGGACTTTWAAGTGCCTGTGACATGCATATTCTCCAAATACAAAAAGTCGAAGAAAACATCTTTATATTTAAGAAAGTTGGAATAATACACAATTTAACCCATTTTGTCCCATAACTGGCCTATTTTCTTTTGAACTTGGCTCAGCCAAAATGAAACAGGAAGTGACATCAAAGGGGAACTCTTTAACAAACAAAACTCTCTGGTCTTTGTTTATTGAAACAATATTATTTGAACTCTGACTCTTCTTCATCTCTCTGATAGAAACTCAAAATAATCTACAGAAATATCAGATTCTTCTCTACAGTCTGTGTTGTTAGCCATTTTAGCATTGCTCTGTTCACATGCAGACATTCCCCTTTGACATCACTTCCTGTTAATTCACAGGCAAATATCTCAACAACTGTTCATCTCAGCGACGTGAAATTTCTTTTGCAATATTTTATCAATGTCCTCTTTCTAAAAATGCATTTATATGTATTATAAAAATTTGAKGTCACAGGCACTTTAAGAATCAAAAGCACTGAACAATAATTATTGTTTGTGAGGATGACACATTCTTTCAGTGTTTTTGCTTGAGACATTGGTTGTAAATTGATTTAAAGAAGCTAATTCAGGCTTGTTTATAGAAAAGCTCGGACTCCTACTTTCCAAAGAATCCGGTGCGTCTGTAGGACACCGGTATTCTGTCCTTAGCGTCAATATTCAGCTCCTCTTCAGCCGCCCTCAGCTTCTCTTCAAACTTGTCGATGTTGGCCACCTGCATCTTGTACATGAGTGCCAGCCTCTGCTTAGCAAGAAAAATGGCAGGAGGTTAGAAGTTCACAAGTTCACAACGTATTTGTTCAAGTTCAGATATTGCTTTTTATTTTTTTTGCGCGTAGCTCCACACAACGTACAGGTCTTCCAAAAATAACTGCACCCGGGTGGAGGTGGATCTCCACGACYTCGCTCTCGGGATCAATGAACACTTGTGACACCTCTCCCTTAGCCAGCATCTCATTGACAAAGTCGCTCCAGGAGATGTTGCCGCCGCTGCCGCTCATGGAGTTCAGCAGGCTCAGAATGAGGCCTATAAAGAAGATGACCCGCAGGCGATCGCGATACAACTGCTCCTGCTGCTCGCGCCGTTTCTTCTCTTCTGAGGTCCACAACAAACGATAAAAATGATCAAAAATAAATAAGCAGTAAAACCATCAAAGGTGCAAGAAAATTTAAAATAAATAAATAAAACACACCTTCTTCATCCTGAGGTGATTTTCCCTTTGGTTCAGAATTTTCATTTTGCTGTTGTTTAGACTGAGATGCACTGAAAAAGTTTGTTGCCCCTGAAATAATAAAAAAAAAGATCTTACACACTGTAGTCGTGGAGGAGTATAATCATAAGTAAGCTAAGTGTTTACCTAATAGATTTACCAAACCAAGAGGGTTTCTCAGTAGGTTCTTCCTGATTAACTCCTTGCGAATTCCCACCATGCCAGGACCCAAAGGTCTATGAAGAAGACTCTAAAATAAAAGCATGAAAGGGTGAAAATTAAGTTATAGTAATCTTTACAGCCTGAAATTACCACTAAAAGAGAAATAGGAGACAAAAATGTATGTATATGTAYTTATACATTTTATTACTGTAACATTTCTTACATTGCTATTCTTTAACCATATTTAAGGATTTACATATCTGCTGGCTTTAAAGTGCCTGTGACATGCATATTCTTCAAATACAAAAAGTCAAAGAAAACATTTTTATTTGTAAGGAACTTGGCATAAAACACACAATTTTGCTCATTTTGTCTCATAACTGGCAAATTTTCTTTTGGACTTGGCTCAGCAAAAGTGAAACAGGAAGTGACATCAAAGGGGAACTCTTTAAGAAAACAAATTCTCTAGCCTTTGTTTATTAAAACATTATTATTTAAACTCTAATTCTTCTTTGATAGTGACTCAAAATAATTTAAAGAAACATCAAATTCTTCTCCACAGTCTCCATTGTTAGTTATTTTAGTAACATTGATTGTTCACATGCAGACACTCCCCTTTTACATCACTTCCTGTGAATTCATATACAAATATCTCAACAACTATTCATCTCAGCGACGTGAAATTTGTTTTGTAATATCTCATTAGTGTTGTCTTTCAAAAAATGCATTCATATTTAGATATGTGTTGTTAATGACTGTCAGGTACCACCACAGAGTTTTAGCAAAATATCTGTAAATTTGACTGAATTTAAAGGCATTTTTGTGTTCTCTAAGGTCAGATGGCTGTGGCGGCCATATTGAATGAGATTAGCTATAATTTAATCAAACTTTAAAGACTTATCTAGCAATTGGTTTCATAAAAATCCAGTATTTTTTTTTTGTTAGAAGTATGCAGAGATGGTCTCGGTGGAAACGAATAATTTACCACAACTCGTATCGGTTTCCACATGAGGTTCATCGACTCTTACCTCGATGAGTTTCATCTCTGGATGACTTGTTTTTGTCCACTCGGATCTTGACAGAAGCGACCTCCTGACATTAGCACACTTTGACAGAACATGATTACCGATATCGGTATTTACTTGTTTGTTTGCTACAACGTGAGCATTTCGCTTTGAATGCAATAACAGTAAACGTCTGAGTTTAATACAGACTCCAGCACTATGCTGCAACAGAGCTGGCATGTTGGTTGTTATCGGTCAAACCGAACATTAGCTAAACAACTGCACTTCCATAATATCCATACTGCATGTTCTTAAACCTGGATGTAAAAACAAAACCTTTGTTTACCCCCTTTTTTTAACCTTCGTTCGGAGCTAGCATGTTGCTATGTTATTGAACTGCGACACTTCTTCTTCGACGGTTTTATTAAAAGTTAATGATTAGGTTATGGGCACAAAAGCGCCCCCTCATGGACAAACATTGGTACTGTTCTATTATTATTACGGTGTTATTAACAGGGCAAATATATTGTTTTAGGTATACAGTCGCAGTAACACAAGTTGAACAACAATACACTTTTTAAATGTATAACCAAAAGAAAACAAACATTAAAGATATGTAGATTCAAAATAATGAAGTGAAWGAGGCAGAAAAGACAATCATATAAAATCGAAATTACTTGAAATATCTACATTTGAGTATAATGCATTTACTAAGTAACAGTAAATTGTTAGTTAGGCCTCTTTACATTGAACATTTTATTGCTTATTTATTTAATAAAAAAAGCCAGCTTCACATGACCTTCGTAAAGGTTTATAAAAAAACGTCCTGATGCATCTCAGTAATCCAGGTAAAAAAAATCAAAAAGAAAAAAAAACACATTACGGCAAAAGGCTGGTTCACTCCAAAGATCCGGTGCCCCGGCACAAAAAGAGCAATGC